CCCACGGAACATCTGTGTGTCTGAAGAACAAGCCATTATGAACCACCAAACTGGCAGTTTGTTCCCATTTCTAATGGCCAATATTAGCAATTCCCTCCATAATACTCTACTCTGATGCCACAGTGTTCATTCCTCCTCCTGATTCATATTGCTGCCTACTTTTTGAAATGGGAAGGAAAGGTGTAAGCTGCAGGAAGTTAATTCTGTTGTGTCTTATGAAGCAGTGAGCATGATTCATAGCTCCTATTTTGCAATGGTAGCTGTAAGTTTAATTTGGTTCCAAGCAGCACAGAGTGCAGATGATTTCCTATTCTTTCCTAATACATAGAGATGTGCAGATTTATGTTTTTTCGATGACAGTTCCCAGAGTTCCCCAAGCAGCATGCTGCCTAGGGAATTCCAGAATTTGTCACACAAAAACATAAATCTGTACATCTCTAATTCCTACGTTGTTTTCCATATAATTTAAAACATAAAATAACTCAGCCAAAGCCAAATAGGATAATGGACCGGTTTGGGTACATTTATTCTCTTTGTGCAATAGAATGTCATAAATTAAATTACCCAACAAATAAGTATTGTGCAAACACAGTGCAATATTTCCTTCTTTTTAGGTACAACTGCATTAAGCAAGTATTTCAATAAATACAAAACAAAAGCAAAAAAGGACATTGTGGCACTTTAAAAACTAACTGCTATATTTTAATGTAAGCTACCATGGAACATTGTCCACTTCTTCAGACATATGAGTTAGAATACAGTGGTAAGATATCCATGGAAGGCTCTAAAAGACAGTGGTGTTTGGTTGCATTTTACACATAGTAATGATTTATGACCCCTGTTTGGTATTCAATTCTTTTGAAGACTTGTTCTGCAAATAACAAGAAGGTGATTTTACATTTTAAAACGAAGAAACCAACCAATCATGTCATCCTGATAGCTGAAAATGTAACAAAAGCACCCCACGAATACACACCAGATATGGCCCCAGTAATGAATGGAGCACTTTTAATACCGTGATTCCCCGAAAATAAGACAGGGTCTTATATTAAATTTTGCTCCAAAAAACACATTAGGGGTTATTTTCAGGGGATATTTTATTTTTTCACGTACAGTACAACAATCTACCGTACATTTATTCAAATACTGTCATGTCATCTTCTTCTGGTTGCTGCACAATGATGGAGGGCAGGGTTTCACTTAACTGGGGCTTTATTTGGGGGTAGGGCTTATATTACAAGTATCCTGAAAAATCATACTAGGGCTTATTTCCAGGTTCGGTTTTATTTTCGGGGAAACAGGGTAGTAATTTCTATCAAAGAACAACTCTGGAGTGTTTTGAGAAAGAATGACTAAAAGTGGGATAAACTACTCTTTGCAGATTAGAGATGTGAGGATCATTTTGCCAAAAGACAGCTGTAACTACCCAGTCTGAGTAGCAACATAAGTAAACAAAATAAACCTGTTTCCCAGAGCTGCTGTTCTTTGCCAAAGAAAGCATAGTCAGGTAAGAACTATAAACAGCTGAGAGATCTGTAAACATTACACTCTAATTTGTTTTGAACACAGGAGAAAATAAAATGATTTACAAAGATCCTTCCAATTCAACCTATGCACACACTGTGTCTGTTTAAAATCCATTTAAGACCAAATGTCAGAGCACTGGCATTGCCTCAGCATTATTTATAGGTTTTAGAATTAATGTAAGAGCAATTTCCTATATAAAGTGCTAAGAAGTCTTTGTTTTTTCCCCTGAAAAGGCTATTATGTTCTTGCTAATTTGATTCAACATACTCATTCAGAGGGAGGGGGTGAGAGACCTTGCAGTGTCGATGTATGAACGTTTATGTGAAAGAAATGTCCAATCCCTCTGCCATAATAAATTTTTCTTGGATTTGTATTAAGTCTGCTTCTTATACTACTTTCTTGTCCAAAATATATACTATGTTCTCTGAAGTAGCGCTCGGATAGCACATGCTTTTCCAAATTCTTTCTTTATAAATGCTTCCTCTAGTTTTTCAACCATGTTGGATTCTAGATTATCTGAATACCAGAAAACCGAACATTGGTTCAAACAGCACTTTTGTCTTTCCACTTCTTCAACAAGCCCATCTATCTCCTGGAAATAAATGCTGAAGCACTACCTAGAGTGGTCTAGCCACCTAGAGTGGTCTTTTAGACCAGATGGGCGGGGTATAAATTAAATAAACAAACAAATAAATAAATAAATATCCAATCTTAATCTATCTGCTCATTCATTGTTTTATTAATAAAAAAGAAATGATTTGATAAAAATCATTTTCCTGAGATATTGGGAGAGGGGGAGCTTTTAGGGGCTACCACAACAACCAAAAACCTAAGTATCTGTTAAATATTTATTTATTTATTTATTTAATTATTTAATTTATACCCCGCCTATCTGGCCCACCGAACCACTCTAGGCAGCTTCCAAATATAAAATCAAATAATAAAACATAGACAAATACATAATAATCAAACAAGAACAGCAGTAACGATAAAAAGGAAAAGTAAGAAAAAAATCAAGAGTTGGCTGGAGGGAAGGCCTGAATAAACAGCCATGTTTTTAATTGGGTTTTAAAGGTGCCCAGCGTGGGGGCTGCGCGAATCGCCGGAGGGAGATTGTTCCAGATTGGCACAATATGTATGTTGTTCCTAATATTGCAGTTTTTTGTAGCAATTATGGAGTTGCTTCTGATATCTGCAACTGCTTATAATGCTGTGTGAAATTTCTTGATATTTTTCCCAAAGCCCCGATGACCATGGGGACCACTGAAGTGTGTGATTCATCCATAAGCAAGATGTTTTGATTGCCAGATCTCTGTATTTTGTTAGCTTTTCCAATTTGTTATCTTCAACTCTGGCGTCCCCTGGAATTGCAATATCAATGATCCAGACATTTTTTCCATAATATTGCTACTATGTCTAATGTGTTATGTTCAAGGTGTCTATCAGTTTGGATCTGGAAATGCCACAAGATCTTGACTTCCTCATTTTCTGACACCTTCTCTACCTGACGTTCCCATGGGTGTTTCATCATCATCATCGTTGTTGTTGTTGTTGTTGTTGTTAGTAGTAGTAGTAGTAGTAGTAGTAGTAGTAGTAGTAGTAGTAGTATAGCATAAAAATAAAGAGGCCCTTCACTCAATGCAGATCTCACTATTTGTCATGTGCTTTGCTAGCACACCCCTTAACCCAATTTATACAATAAGCTCCAAAGGCTGCTGTTAATAAAAGCCTATGTTGACAGATTCAGTTTGGGGGAGGAAGGGAATTGATATGGTATCATTCCACAAGAATAAGCTGTCTTTCAAATATATAGAAATATCCATTTGCAGATAGATTTTGGAATTAGCAGCTTTACTCTCCTACAGTTCAACCATCATATGGAGCCACAGATAATGAACAGAATATTTCATATTTGCTCCTAGAGCTAAGATATAATAATATGGAAATCTGAAATTAATTTTCAATTTGATTTCAGAATACCAATATTCTGAATATTCCACTGTTTTTTGGACCCTGGCTATAATTTGACTTCATAATAAAACAGGATAAAAATATAATTCATATTGCTTCTGGCTCACATATTCCTGTAAATCTCTTGCACTGTTTTACAAACACCTTATTGCAAATGTGTCTGTTGTACTATTCCAAAGCAGGAAAAAGTATCCTGTGGAGAGCTTTTCATCATGAAGATGAAAGAGAGCTTCCAGGCCTTTTAAACGGAGACTCCTTGGAACTCTGTGTACAGGCAGATACTCTATTTATAATAGCAATTATCCACCCAAGCATTAAAACTTCCTCTGATCATTTTCATTACTTAGGAATTACAGTACATGAATTATATACGCTTTTTTTTCCAAACTTAACTTTATTCACTTCACTGTCCTTCCAGACTGGTGAGGATTCACTTTGCTTAACACAAGGGGAAGGTTTGGATGTTTTTCTACTGATAATTATAAGCCTTTACTTTCATTGGTTATAATAATAAATAAATAAATTTGAACACTTTCTGTTCCAGATAGAAACATGCTTTGACAAATGTAGCAAAAAGATCACTTTTATTCACAATCTCTTCACACATTTATTCACAACCACTCATATTCTAACCTGCAGACTCTATCTGGCAGCACTAATAGTACTAACTGCCTCTCTCACACAAACACATCCACTCTTATATACAAAGCAGAACCTCTCTAGGCAGAAACTAGTGTGCATTGTTTGGATTGTGAACAGACAAGTGAAATACTGTGCTCCCATAGAGCTTTAGGAAGGGTGATACACATCCCAAATACCCCCCTCCTTTATCTTGAAAATATAAGAGATTCATGTATTAATAGGCTTTCTCCTAATATACAGTGGTGCCTCGTTTTACGATTGCCCCGCATTACGACGAAACCACATTACGACGATCTTTTTGCGATCGCAATTGGGTTTGCAAAACGATGGTCTAAATGGGGTTTTTTCGCTTTGTGATGATTGGTTCCCTGCTTCGGGAACCAATTCTTCGCAAAATGTCGATTTTAAAACAGCTGATCGGCAGTTTCAAAATGGCCACCAGGTAAACAAAATGGCTCCCCACTGTTTTCTGGGACAGATTCCTTGCAAGACAGGCAGCGAAAACGCTGCCCTATGGAGGATCTTCGCTGGACGGTGAGGTTTGACCCCATTGGAACACATTGAAGGGGGTTCAATGCGTTTCAATGGGTTTGGTTTTTTTTTGGCTTTACGATGTTTTCGCTTAACAGCGATATTCCTGGAACGGATTATCGCTGTTAAGCAAAGCACCACTGTATATTTTAAGTTAAAAAGAGTGGTGAGCTGTATTTCGTTTTGGAGAATTTTTATTTTAGGTTTTTGCATTATGTTTCTGTAAGGCATTATCTTTTTGTATTGTTTCTGACAGGTCTGGGCTTCACTATATTATATTACTATAGCACATACGGGACAACATCTCTAACCAACTTGTTCTTCCTTACCTGGTGCAGATGTGGAGGGCTGTGTCAAATTCTCACTCTCCTCATCAGTGCTTCCTTCATAAACATCTCTTTCAACTTTACTTTCTGATGTGGCTATGCTGTCCCTGCAACAATGAAAAGACATTTTTTACTCTCATCAGATGGCAATTTTATATTTCTTTACCAAGAGATAGGACACAATCATCTGAGTTCAGTAAAATACACACACAGATATCCAGGAATGCAAAGGGGAACTGCTTTAATAGAACCAAAATATGAGTGATATGGTATAGCCTTTATATCCTGCCACAACATATGATCTACCAGAAATAAAGACTGTCTCAGGCAAAATGTCCATTTATACATTTTATCATATAATCCTGGAGTGTTAAAGCCAACAAACATGTGCAATAAAACACATTGTAACAGGAAGTTAACAGCCTTCCTGCACTGCACTATTTGTTTGAATTCAAAGTTTGCTTCCTCGCAAAAAACAAATTAAATCCATGGACATACAGGCACATAATTTACCTAATTTATTTATTAATTTTATTTATTTATTTATTCTATTAGATTTATACCCCGCCTATCTAGACGAATGGTTTATTTTGGCTTCAAATTGCTCTTTTAGAATTCAAACACAGTACAGAATTGTTTTCTAAAATAAAATAAAAAAATAACTGCACTATCGAAGTGTTGAGTCTCATGTTGCAGGTTTCAGGCTAAACCTGGGTCCCAGTTCAGAGAAGGCCGAAAACTGCTAACTAAAAAATACTGGTCAACTTTGTGTGAAAAATACAGCAGTTAGTACTTCACCACTAGAATGAATCTAATGAACATCAATAGCAAAATCATTGCAAATGGAGTCTCTGTTCTGCAAAACACAATAACAAAAGCAGGATGACTTTTACTTCAAGAATAAGCTTTTAAAGCTTTGCACTCTCTATCAGAGGTATAGAGACACACTATGCCTGCTTCAACTATGATGCTTCAAAGCACAACAAAAGTATGAAATAATACCTTGCTTGATTAGATTTCTTTACCATTTCTTCAGCCTCTTTTAAAGATTTGTTCAAGCTTCTTATCTTTGCTTTCTTTTCATTGAGGACGAGGATAAATCGTTGATACAGCTCATTCTCTAGTTTTTCTTTTGCTTCAACACATTTTTGTAACCTGAAAAATAAATGTGTATTTCACATTTACATAAAGAATAAGCAAGGTCCATAAAACAAACCTAGGGTCTTTGCAGCTCAGTTCAAAAACTTTTGGCAGAAATCATATGTACAGTTGTGAGATTCAGGAGTGGGCTTAGGACTGCAGGAAGAGCTGAAGAAGGGGAAGTACTATTGTACAATGGAGGAAGGGTGTCTTCTTGTATAACTATGGATGCGGCCTAAAGATGTATTTCCATACAAAATATACAATGAAAAGTGTGATTAAGCTAATAACATAATAAGAATCTTCAGAACAGTCCATTATTTATTAAAAGCTGTACAGTTGTAATATGAAATAAGATGGAAGAAACATTCATAGGCTTTAGAAATTAAAGTTATTTCAATATGAAGATTACGGCAACAACACAATTCCAAAAACTGGAAATTGATGGTATCATTTATGCAGCTCTTCAAAACTAGTCAATTCTTTTTGCTGAGCTACCAGAAGCTACATAGGCTCAAGATAGCTCTCTAAGGTAAAGCTAGACTGCCATTGTATGCATCAGCACAACTACGTACTTAAAAAGCCATGGTTCCTATAGGGCATGAGATTTTTATCTGCAATCAGCCTGCCTCATGTTCACATTTCAACAGCTGAGCCCACTGCCATATGACTAAAAGATAACTAACAACTATAGCTGTAGCTGCCCACAAGATTCCATGAATGTGTTCAAACACTCAAAGTTCAAACAGTCATGGAAATGAATTGGTATATGGTCAGGAATAGAACAATATAGCATTGTTATTTAGTAACATGGGACAACATCATTGTTGAGAAACAAAAGTACATTACGAGGGCTACATTTGCTTGCATTATCTCAATAAAGTAAATTATTTTTTAAAAAATTACATGTGAAAAGTGAAAGAATTTGTCACTCAATGAGCACTGGAAATCCTTTGTCTAAACCCATTGTCACACTCGTAGTGTGGAAATCCCTAATAGATTACACCATTATGAAAGTGGCAGTGCAAGTTGCACTGTGATTTACAGGGTGTAACTGCTTTCACAGTGCGGATTATACGGGATCCTAATAATGATGATGGTTTTTGAGTGACAATGTCTGATATTTAACAATGACAACAAAAATAACTGGTTTGCTATTCCCTTCTTCTGGGATCATCTTGCACAGCTTGCCCAAGACTATATATGCTGACCCTTATGGGATGTCCAGTGGGGACTGAACTCCCAACTACTGGGTCCACAGTCAGAAACCTAAGTCTTTGAGATGTCCAGCCAGCTTCATGCTGGATATCAATATAAATATGAATATTGCACAGTGGATATTGGATATTGTTCCTGCACAAACTCTGCAAATCTGTACCCACCAGTGCAAAATACTTTGTACTAGTGCAGCAACACCATAGAATGCAGGTTTTTATGTCTGTACAGTCCTTGCCAACTGTTATGACTTGCTAAAACCACTGCATTCTACAGCATTCAAACACATCTCGTACAGTTTAGCATCTAACCCGCCCCCCCAACAGTAACACCTAATAAACTTCCTATATTTTAGAATCAGAACACAGCCAAAAAAAATTAAAATGTTCTAAAAGATGAAAAACCTATAGTGGTCAGAAAATGTTGGTTATGAGTTTTTAAAGCCCTAAATGGCTTAGGACCTCAACGCCTGTTGGAACATCTTTCCCAAAAATCAGCTTCCTGTGTCACATGCTTCTCTTACTCTACAATGTTAAAGATGGCTACACTGAGGGAATCCAAAAAGGTAACAACAAGGAGTCGGGCTTTCACATATTAGCTCCCACTTTGTGGAATAAACAACCAGTTGAGGCGGGCCAGATTTTGTCCCTTCCACTATCAAGAAACTACTCAAGGCAAAGTTATATAAGGCAGCCTTTAAGGACATCTTATCCTCAAAATATGTAAATTTTAATGTTTCTGTTGACCTCCACAGTCAAATAGCCATTTTGATTATGTTGAAATGTTTTTATGAGAATGAAGTGGGTGGGGGATACAGGATTGTGCTTGCTTGTACAGTGGTCAGAGTAGTGTGAATTCACTAACTGGATGGAAAGGAAAGAAGGATGGAAGGAAGGAAACATTTATTTCATCACAAAACCAAAAAAAATCTTAAAGGATTGCAAACATGATACAGTGGTGCCTCGCTAGACGATGATAATCCATTCCACTGAAATCGCTTTTTAGTGAAATCATTGTCTAGCAAAAAGCATTTCCCCACTGGAATGCATTGAAACCTGTTTAATGCGTTCCAATGGGGAAGAATGGTCGTTGTCTAGCGAAGATCGGTCATAGGAAAGATGCTTTACAAACCGCCGATCAGCTATTTAAATCACTGTATTGCGAAGCTTAGGTCCCAAAAACAACTGTTTGCGAGCGTGGAGGGAGCTGTCAAAATTGTCGTCTAGCGAAAATCAGTTTGCGAAGCACGGACCAAACATTGTCCAGTGAAATTTCCCCATAGGAATCACTGTTTTGCAAATTGCTATAGCGATCGCAAAAAGCCAATGTCTAGCGAAAAAACTGTCATGCGGGGTAACTGTCTAGTGAGGCACCACTGTACTGACTATCAAAAGCAGAATGCCATGAAGGCATCTCAGAAGCGTTTCATGCACTGTTTCACATGTGCTATTCCAACAGCGAAAGAAAAATGGAAGTTCTGGTTTCCTTATATATTAGACATTCTAGCTGACACAAATAAAGAAACCTGTTCCTACAGTGGAATGAATACTCTCACCGGACTAGAGTAATTGCTGACAAATGTAATATTTAAAATGCTGTTTATTTATGCACATTAAACCATAAAGACCTAGCATATCGTGTACATGCTTTGGAATTGAGTTGGAACTTTAGAATGCAAGCCTAGTAAAAATATTGGCAAACACAAATTTTACAGCTTTACATATTAGATGCTAAAAATAATACTCTTATGAACTATTAACTTAGCCTGCCCTAATATGTTTTATGGATATGCTCAGTAGCAGATAAATAATTCATCTAATTTAAATGCAAATGGGTGAGTATCATTACCATAAAGATCAGCTGAACTCCTAAAAACAAGATCATAGTACTAATCAACTGCCAAGAAAATTTCCATGTATAAATCAAATTTTAAATGTTAAGCCGGGAAGATTGCATAGAAGTACTAAAATGCAAAAACTAACATTAACAAAAATATCCTTACGCAGTTCATTGGCAGATCAAATTTTGAAGTGTTTCAGAAAATTAAGACAAGTTAATTGTTAAGAATCCTTTCTATTCTGTTCCCATAGGAGTTTCATTCTTGCTTATAGTATATCCACTGTTGGAACATAATGGCTGAAATCTACAACTAAGTTACAACTAGAATAGGTCCATTGAATCATGGAGATGTGAGACAACTCTTTTGCAGGTTCTACTGATTCAATAGGCCTACTCTAATTATGACTTATTACTGGATTTCAGCCCATGAGCTCCAAAATATATTTTTATTACTGTCTTCAATAAAAGAAAAATATGTGGCAAATATTTCTGTGGCAGAAATTTAAAATAGGATTCTGTAACCACATACCTACAAATAACTCACAAGGTGCAGTTACACACGGAAATAGTCTTGGTTTCGCTTCATGTTTAGCACGTTTGAAATCAATTTAAAAATATCCGTTTACATGATATACAGCTGAGCATGCTCTTTTTTGGATGTGAATTATCAGTTTTTTATTTGGAAAGAGATTTTTATAAACACCCACTAGGGTCTGGTTTATTTTAAACCCTATTATGAATGAGATTTTAGAAATAATTTTTGCACGTGTGCTTGCCTGTAGTCCTAGAGTAGTCCTAGAAATGAGCTGGAATTTTTAGCATGTATAAATTACTGAAACAGCAACGTCTACATTGGCTTGAGCATGTCGTGAGAATGGCTGACGGTCAGATTCCAAAAGATCTCCTGTATGGAGAATTAGTGCAGGGAAAGCACCTCAGAGGGAGATCACAGCTGTGATACAAGGATATCTGCAAGCAGGATCTGAAGGTCTTAGGAATGGAACTCAAAAAATGGGGAACCTTGACATCTGAGTGTTCAGCCTGGAAGCAGGTGGTGCTTCATGGTCTCTCCCATTTTGAAGAGATACTTGTCCAGCAGGCTGAGGCAAGGAGGCAGACCCGAAACCAGCAAAATCAGGGAGTCGGACAGTTGTATTTGTCTTCTATGTGGAAGGGATTGTCACTCTCAAATTGGCCTTCTCAGCCACAATAGACACTGTTCCAAGCCCTCTATTCAGAGCACGTTACCATAGTCTCTTGAGACTGAGGTATGCCTACGATTGCCTGTGTGGTTTTCCATGTTTTGGATTGGATGTCAGGGTCACAGGGATCTAGCACTACTCCAGTTTGAAATATATATATAAACAAATAAAACAAATATTAACCACTTCTGTCCTGCCTTATTTTTCTGTCTTCCTCCAGTGAAGTGGAGCAACTGACATCTGGGAGAAGAAGGTGGAAGAAGGGTGGGGCAGAAGGGTAATCTTGCAGTCCAATCTGTTTTTTAAAAAACACCAAAAAAACCCTCCACCTATAACACTGATCTAGTGCAGTGGTCGGGGAACAGGGGTAAATTATCCCAACTGGGGTAAACATGAAAATCCTGGGGGTAATGAGCAGAGTGCTACCCCCATGCTCCCACTCCCACCGCCTGCAGCTGAACCTCAAACTGGAAGCCACCTCTCCCTGCTACCTTCTTTGGTTGCAGCACTTGGAAATCCAGAGACTGGAGATAAGGCTGCTTAATTGGTTACAGCTGTAGAACAGCCCTGGGCAGTCAATCCAGCTTGCGAATGATTGCTTCCACCAGAGGTGACTGTAAGCAGGAGGAGGGAAAGCTCCAATTAGGAGGGAAGGAAGGTGCAAGAGAGCGACGGGTGGCTTCATCAGCTTGTTTAAATATATGTAGAAAATGGAGAGAGGGAGTGTGTGTGTGTATTAGAGAGACTGACTCAAAACTGAAAAAAGGAACAGGCAAACAGGATGGAAGGCTTGAATTAAGGGGGGGGAGAAGGATGGCTTCATCACGCTTGCTTAAATCCATGTAGAAAATGGAGGGAGGGAGGGTCGATGAGTGGGTGTATGTGCGTATGAGACAGAGAGACTGACTCAAAACTATGAAAAAAGGAACAGAGGCAAGCAGGACGGAAGGCTTGAATTCAGGGGGAGAAAGGGTGGCTTCATCAGACTTGTTTAAATGTAATGAGAGGAAATGGACATACTGAACTGAAGCAACTAATTGTTGAAAATGGGGGGGAGGGGTTTGTATGTGCGAGAGAGAGAGAGAGAGAGAGACTTGACTCTTTCATAAAACCATGAAAAAAGGAACCTTCTAAAATTTAATCTCCACTGCATTTAGCTCTGCTGTTTCTATGAAAATTCCAGGGTACTGAAGCTTAAAGTTATGGCTAATAGGCTGGGTTTAGCAAAAGCACATCTGTTCTACTTTTGACACCAATGGGGAAATGCCCATTTCTCTCGAATATGACAAACCTATTAACCAAAATAAGGTAATTTTTCATAGTCCATCTAAAAACAGCATAGGCCTGAATCCTATTGGGTTTGTGCAATTGCTGCATAATTGGTGTGCATGTTCCATCTGTCTATCATGTGCTTCAACATACTCAGATGATACACTGAGAACTTGATTATACAGTTGTGTGGGCACAGACTACATCACCTGCATGCACGAGACAGAATTTGTGAAAACTGTGTTTGGGCTATCGTATTTTACAGCCTGTGGCAAAGAAATACTTTACTGGCAGAGAGGTACATTTCTTTTGTTCCATCATTTTTTAAAGCTATATACGAAACGTCTGGACAGAAGTTGTGCAAGTTGTTTGCAACTGTATAGGTAAAAATACTGTAGGATGTCTACAATGTAGGTCTAGTTTTGTGTCAGTTTTGCAACAAAATGTGACTCTATGAGACTAAAATGTCCTGCCCAGATGCATGAGGGTTCAATTAACATCAACAGCTCTAGTTTAGTGCAGCAATGGCGTACAGGGTATACTATGCAGTTCCCTCCTCCTTAAAGAACAAGATCCATGCTCTTATAAAATAACACCCTGTTACATTTAATAGAAGGAGTGTGTTTCACATATTCAAAAATTTAAGACTGCATTTCATCCAGCGAAAGGTAATAAAATGTTTTTATTTATTCCTCAGCTTTTTGTTCAAGAAATGATAGGCTTGTCTTTTGAACTGATGATTTTTAAACTGATGAACTGATACTTTGCTATTTTACCATCACGTTCAGTATTTTTATTCAACTGCTGTAAAACCCACTTTAAATTTTTAAACTGTAATGAATTATTCAAGTGACCTATTACTACTATCTGTCAGCTCTTCTATTAAAAAAACCCATTTATACTAAACTTTTTGGCAAATACGAAAGTCTTCTTGTTGAAATAAATGTATGGGAAGTTGTCTAGCATAACTCCCTTCCAAGGAAAGCTAACCTGGGCTCTTCCATGCTGTCATTCCACTGGAAGTCAAAGATATTTTTATTTAGATAGAAATGTGCCCTGCCACTCGCATCCAGCATGGGGTCAGTAGGCAAATCCTCCTCAATCCCCATATCCATAGACTCCAGATGGTCCTGCTCTTCAGTTACAGGGTTTATTCACACAGAGGAATGAGGTGTAACAAACTCAAGAGTTCTCTCCAGTCCTGGGAGCCCCGCAGGTGCCAGAGTTATCAGCATTTACCCTGGGAATGACTCAGTCCTCTCTGGGCCCTGAGTTAACTACACTGGGGCACATGAGTCTTTAGCTTCTATTGCTGGGAATCTCACAGACTGAGAGAGCTATGTGGAGCAAGGAGGTCTTTTAAGTCATCACCCTGGTCACTATCTTGGAGGAAGTTGAAAGTCAGTGACAGTGGTGACGGCGGCTGGAAGTGTTGCTGGTGCTTCCTTGGCTTCTTCTCCAGTGTTTCCTGTGGGTGTGGGTGTGCAGCCCAACTAGCCATTCATGGATTATTAGCAACAGTGGCAGTGATAGCACTGGGGCTTGGACTGAATGGGAGGACTGGATAATTGTCACCCACTGTGTTGTCTACAAGATACTTGGAGCAGTAAGAGGTCCCCAGTGATCCTCACAGTATGTGTGGTCCCAAGCCCCATATGTGTCTTCCTCCTCCATATCTGAGGTGACCTCCACTTCCCCAGCCAATACCATGTGTCCCTCATCTCCTCTAGTCTCTCTCCAGTATCCTCCACAATCTCCTCTGTGACCCCCCCCCAGCTGCTAGGCAACCCCATCCTCTATCTTTAAGTGCCTTAAGTGCCATCTGCTGTGGCCTCCTTCCCCTCCTAGACTAGTCAACCCTGCTCTTCACCTGCCTCAGACCAACGGCAGCTTGGCCTAAGTGCCTTGACAGCTTGCCTGGGATAGGGGTTGGTGGCCCAACAGGGCCACCACCAGCAGCCACTGATAGCAGGCCTATGCCACGGAATGCCAAGGAAAGGACTATTAATGATGGATGCTGCACTTTTTTGTTGTATTTTTAATGGTTTTTACATCATATTAGCCAGTGTTTATTTTATTGTGACAATGCATTTCATGGTGTTTTAATACAGCAATTTATTATGGTTTTTAGCTGCATTTTTAAACTTCAAAAAGGGGGAGGGTCCTGCCAAAACAAACCTGACCGAACAGTAAATGAAAAAATAAATACATATATAAACAAATACTGTCTGTTCATTGGCTGTTTTTGTTTTACTATATAGAGAAGAACAAGACATTTGAATATTACAAACAATCCATGCAACTGAAAGCATCAGTAAAGCTCAACTACAAATTATCTTCTAGGAAAGTTGTGGTATATCCCAGCATAAAAGATAAGGCTTATCACAATTTAATGCTACATGATAAAACATATTAAATATTTATTTGTAATCATGCAATGGGCTAGTATCGCATGATTGCATAATCCATTCTTGGAGGTATATGCAGCCTCCAAGAATCAATACTAGGCCTCCCACCTAACAAAATCCCATGCATATTACAATATGAACTTACTGCCCCTGTATGTCATTCAGATCACTGAGAAGTGTCTCATTCTCTCTTTGAAGGCACTCATTTTTGGCCTCTAGTCCTGCCATGCAGTCTAGGCAATGACTAATCAGCTTGCTGATTATTTCTGCTGGGCTTGAGACTTCTTGCAGCATCAGTGATCCAAGTCTAAACTAGGACAAAAGAAAACACCAAGTTACTTGGGGAGAAAAAGGTTAGAAATCCCATTTTCAATTGGACATATGTGATTTACATTCTATACATTTTTTCTATTACAAATAGTAGAAGTGAAAGTTTTTCCTTGCTAATGCTTCCTCTAAAGTAACTCTGTTGATACTGGAAACGGTGTTGTGGAAAATAAATGAAGTTAGATTCATTTTAATTAGACATGTCAAAAGTCTCCTCCAGCATCACAATTCAAAAGCATCAATTCTTAGGCGGTCACCCTTCTTTATGGTCCAGCTTTGACTTCCATAACATCACTACTGGAAAAACCATAGCTTTGACTATGCGGACCTTTGTCGGCAAGGTGATGCCTCTGCTTTTCAAGATGCTGTTTAGGTTTGTCATTGCTTTCCTCCCAAGAAGCAGTCATCTTTTAATTTCATGGCTGCTGTCACCATCTGCAGTGATCAGGGAGCCCAAGAAAGCAAAATTTGTCACTGCCTCCATATCTTCCCCTTCTGTTTGCCAGGAAGTGATGGGACCAGTGGCCATGATCTTAGGTTTTTTGATGTTGAGCTTCAGACCATTTTTTGCACTCTCCTCTTTCACCCTCATTAAGAGGTTCATTAATCCCTCCTCATTTTCTGCCATCAGAGTGGTATCATCTGCATATCTGAGGTTGTTGATATTTCTTCCGGCAATCTTAATTCCAGTTTGGGATTCATCCAGTCCAGCCTTCTGCATGATGTATTCTGCATATAAGTTAAATAAGCAGGGAAACAATATACAGCCTTGTCGTACTCCTTTTCCAATTTTGAACCAATCAGTTGTTCCATATCCAGTTCTAACTGTTGCTTCCTGTCCCACATATAGATTTCTCAGTAGATAGATAAGGTGGTCAGGCCCTCCCATTTCTTTAAGGATTTGCCATAGTTTGCTGTGGTTGTCACAGTCAAAAGCTTTTGCATAGTCAATGAAGCAGAATTAGATTTTTTTTCTAGAACTCTCTGGCTTTCTCCATAATCCAGTGCATGTTAGCAATTTGGTCTCGAGTTCCTCTGCCCCTTCGAAATCCAGCTTGTACTTCTGGGAGTTCTCAGTCCACATACTGCTGAAGCCTGTCTTGGAGGATTTTGAGCATCACCTTGCCTGTGTGTGAATGCAATTGTACGGTAGTTGGAGCATTCTTTGGCACTGCCCTTCTTTGGGATTGGGATGTACACTGATCTTTTCCAATCCTCTGGCCACTGCTAAATTTTCCAAACTTGCTGGCATATTGAGTGTAGCACCTTAAGAGCATAGTATGAATGAGTTTGACCTTGGTTTCTAAGTGACACTTTGTGAACTCCAAACTCTCCCTTTCTTTAGAAAAAAAATAAATCAACAGGCAAAGGGACATGGTGTGATGACCTGTTGAGGAAGGCCGACAGGGGCAAAACATTTCTGTTGCTCCTCCTCGATATCTCCATCACCCTCGATACCATTGACCATGGTATCCTCCTGGGGAAGCTCTCCGAGTTGGGAACAGGTAGTCTCATGCTTGCCTGTCTCCAATCCTTCTTGGAGGACCGTCCTCAGAGAGTAGAGCTTGGGGAGAGTGTTTCAGCCTGTGGAGTCTCAATTGTGGGGTTCCACAGGGCTTGATTATCTCCCCAATGCTGTTTAATATCTATATGAGGCCACCGAGTGGAGTCATCAGGGGGTATGGGGCTTCGTGTCATCCCAGATCTAAATCTCCTTTTCTCCAACAACAGTGGATGCCGTTCCATCCCTTCAGCACTGCCTGGAGGCTGTACTGCAATGGATACAGGAGTGTTGTACTTACACCTTTGTTTCTTCATTTCATTAAGTCCAAAGCAGCCCTTCAAAATATTTTGGTACAAAGGGACTACAGCCATATCCAAATTGTTCTCACTTCTGTCTTCTCCGAGTAACCATAGTATAGACCATGTGCTTGTCTTCTGGAATCCTGTAGCACTGGGTAATTCTATGAGGGGGTGCTGATAAGTATTGAGCCTTTCCCAGAAAAAAATTGAGCTAGGAAGCTGTAACTGCCACACAATTCTACATATTCTCGTATATGAAGAAAAATTCTACTGGAATTTGTGTATAGTGTACAGTATGCATATTAAAACTCCCATTTAAAGAGAGTTATGAAATTCAGTTATTCAAAAAAGAATGACACCGTGAAAATCTCAGAAGCTGACTCCTTCTTTCATCATCTATCATTCTCACCCAAACACAAAGCAATTGTTAGGGCTGTTTTTCAATAAATGAGAATGGCAATGATCAGAAGAGGATATCCTGTAGACCACTGGTCCCCAACCTTTTCTGAACCACAATCCATGTGCAGGGGGCGGGGCACCCATCGTGCTCACAGGTGAGCAGGGCATGCACTTGTGCAGGTGGGCAGGGACATGCTCACAGGTGGGCGGGCGTGCTCGCACACATGCATGGGTGAGTGGGGCACATTCGCAGGTGGGCAGGGACCCCTGCTGTACACCATCTTGAGTGCTCCTTTGACATGTAAATCTTGGCATCCTTTTTCTTGTTGGCAATGTGGGCACGATATTGTACAGCAATATCAGGCTGTTTCCTGGCTTTTTGAATCACAGGCACAATATCCCATATTCATAAACTAGAGACTTTTTGAAGAATTGAATAGATTAACTTTCATACTAGTCTCTAAGCTCACAGTTGTCAAGTAATAAACAGTCAATTAAGAGTATTTGACTATCCAGTGATAAATATCATAGCCTTAGTTTCAATTGCAGGGTCCTGTACAGTGGACTGCCATCAAACATGTAATTTACTGTCAAAGCAAATTAAAGCTGGCAAAACTAAAAATTAATGCAGTGCTTTAAAACAACCAGATACCATCATATGATGCAGTATCTGCTATATAAACAGAAGCTTGTTAAAGCTACTTTTCAGTTGACCATATTCATAAGCCAGACTTATTTTTTTAAAGCCTTCTTAATAAAACAGAACTGAAATGTCTCGCATAATAAATGTCAGGTATAAAAAGAATATGTCTTGAGAACTACTTCCCTTTCAGGTGTTGACCTTTTAGTTTCAGAAGTAATGGAAACTATATAAAGTGCCTCTTAAATATACCACTGAAATTAATATGGCAGTTGTGTCTACTAATTTAAACATAACTGTTCTTGAATATACACTAATCAAAAAGTTAAACTGTCAACAATTGCAGAGTGGGCTTTTTCAGCTTTAAGTTTTGGTGTGTAGTTTGGACAGGCAATGTATAGCCCGTGAATATGAATAGGCATGAGATAATGCCTAGACTGAGGCAAAATATACATGTTCCAAAACTGAATACTACAAACTATTTTCCAGCATGAGTAATAACACTCTGTTCATTTGAAGCACTTAATTATTGCTTGTTTTCCTGATGTTTGCTATTATTTGTAAAAACGAACTGAAGTCCCAAACTGTACCTAGGCAAAACTGACTAGTAAATCATTTATTAATTGTTTATAAAAACAAACATTTATTCATATAATTGAGTACTCCAGGCATAGATTGGACTATAGTTCCTGTGCTTAACAGTTTTCTGTTGTGTTCTTTTTCTCCTTTTTTCTTACAGAGAACTGTTTCAGTCTGTTTGGGGATGTAAATTTAATAGGTAAAAATGTTTTAACTGTGATGTGATGATAGTAAACTTTAAACAATCCCAAATCCTAAATATTTCCCCTGGTTTTTAAAGATAATTCTGTGATTTAATTGCTTTATTTATACATGGTGAGCTATAAGTTATTTCATGGGACACCTTTCCATCTCCTATATTATTTTCATCCTTTATTTATCTGAACACATTTCTAGTTAGGGTGTTGTTTCTTTAAAAAATCAACCACAGTCAACATGCAACAAAAGCTCACAAAGTATTCCTAGTAGCTCTAAAAGAGGTAAAGGGGAAATTCATGTGCAAGTATTTCCTAGATTTGTATTCGTGAAGGCTTTCATGGCCGGGATCCAATGGCTGTTGTGGGTTTTTCGGGCTCTTTGGCCGTGTTCTGAAGGTTGTTCCTCCTAACATTTCGCCAGTCTCTGTGGCCGGCATCTTCAGAGAACAGCAGAGAGAACTTAGTGATACTCTACTCAATAATATTATATGTGGAACAGATGTGTGGTATGTGATCATTCCTCAAAAAAGCATCTCTGTTCAGTTCCCATTTTCCTCCCAATACATTTTGGTAAAGGAAATGGGTGGTGTGATTGCATTATATACCAAGGGAAAATCTATTATAACAGAAATCCACATATTTCTCTTGCTAAATATTTCAGAGACACAAAAGGTAAACAGCACATCTTCTGCTATTCTCAGTGGCAATCCTACTATTAGCTTCATACCTTAAACAATGGAAATTAATAAGAATGCCATATAACATGACCAGCAATACTCATTGAAGAAAAATGAATTTCCCTCCGCATCTCATCTCCAAAACCCTGACCCTATTTAGCTTTCAAGATCAGAAGATGCAGTCACCGTCTGGCAGGATATAATGTGCTAGTAAGCCAGCATTATCACTGTTTCCAGAGACAGTGCTGTTCAGTTTCAGCAAAATACACTGTGATATTTTGTGGTAACTATGTAAACAATGACCCTGCTGTCCGGCACCTAGCTGTTAATGGTTATTAAAAACAAAGGTCTAATTCAAGCATGGGTACAATATCAGCCACCACACAGACTATGGATACGAACCTCACCAGTGACAAGCTTCAGTGCATTTCGAAAAAGTACAATTTCAGACAGTATATATGTTTACAATGCCCTATCATTAGGCAGCAGTTACAGAACATTTCTGATGCTGAGTTCATTATATTTGTGTATGTGCAAGTTGAATTACAACAGCTGTGCCAAGATTAACAAAGGTAGTCCCCAAGGGACAGCCATTTCAGTGGTTTATTTATTGGGGGCTTAACCTAAAATGTATATTGTATACAAAGTATACATTTGAGACAAATTGTGGCCAAATTCCTAGTGTTTGAC